TCACTCCTTGAATCCACAGCCCTTCTTACCGTCGTGTTGTTCACCGAAGCGGAGCTTCTAGTAGCTCCCGATCATACCTCAATATGATCTAGTCCCTCACGGGTCTAGATTGTGTGTATCGCATTGCCACGAACTGTTCCACCACGATCCGCTGCACCATGTCGCCTCTTGGTGACATCTCTATTACATTCTGATCCTTATGGGATGAACTCGAATTGTGAGCTCTTCATGTGTAGCCTCTGCCAATACATCGCAGGGCCTTTTCCACCTTCGATTTTATTCGCTCCTTTGGCAATCGACCTTCATCCACCCACTCTTGGGTCACACCTAGATGAAGCACCGCTCTAGGACAGTCCGTCGCCTAGTAGCTCCCGAAATCCCCCGACTTCGCTACAATTGGTGCACCATTGTTTGGATCCTGGGCCTCTACCCCTACCAGCACAATCTTCGCTACGCACCGCTTCCTTCATAGCAACTTGAATGGCAACACTGTGGCATATTCTTCAAGAGTACCCGCCTCTACGTCCTCTTGCCCCGTGCTAAGGCCTTTTGAACCTAACTTCGCCTCCGCAAATTGAGTCGCCTTAGTTCCTCCATCAAATGCTTTTCCGAGATAAGGTGCATGTGCCCAAAAGCTCTCTTCGTCTTTGGCACCATGTAAGATGAGTCCGTTCCGTCAGAATGAAGGACCCATGGAACAACATGAAGCACCTCTGTCTAAGGAAAGCACTATGCATCCGCTCCATGTTCCAACTTTTATGTTGGCTCCCTTCATGCGGTTTGGGTACTTCGCCAAGTTACACCCAAGTTGCTCCGCTCCTCATTTTTGCATTGAATTGATAGTAGCCCTCGCGCCCACCATTCCACTGGTCAGCCCTCCCTTGAGTCCGATCTTCATATCGACTCCAAGTGTGCCTTCATTTGTGTTGCTTTGGATCGCTCCCCCACTTGATCTCGCAATGCATCCACCAATGCATTCTCTCGAACGAGATCATGCGACGACTCCTCGTCGCTTGCTCAGTCTATTGAGCTTCGTGGAGTTGTTGTTTATTGAGGTACTCCTCCTCAACATGTGAGGTTCGTCCCATATGATTCTCCCTCTAGAGAGCCGGGATTTATCCCTCCTGGATAACTATCACATTGGAGCAACATCTCTCTTCGTTTCGAAGACCACCATCCCCTTGGACTACTCCGATCTGCTGAACAAACTGTGCATTGTTCTGCCTCCTGCAAACACACTTGCTAGATTGCGACTCCACGTCAATACAACCCTCGCTGCACCACTCAAGGCCTAGCAACATGCTGAACTCGTTGCACACTTCAGCCTCCTACGGACGTATCCTTCACATGCCGAAGATAAAGTTTCAATGCTCCATGGCGCCGAGTTTTGATCACCTTGGGATGGTCGCGAACATTCCATAGTCCACATACAAGCCCATGCATGAGTACCGAATTCTTTGAGTTAGCAATTCCCCTCACCTCTGTGAGCTTTGCACAACTCTTTCGGTCGCTGAGCAACTCATTCCACCTTGGATGGTCTCATCCTTTACCAAGCGCCTCGCTTACCTTGAGAACCATCAAGTATAGTTGTCAACGTTGAGCTGTAGCTCAAACTCAGTCATCCCAACCTTTGTGCGCTCCACATTCTTCCAAGCTTGTCTATTCTCATGGTGCCTCTTGCGCGAAGGGTTGGCCATTCCTCTGAATGTCAATCTCAAATGCCCGGTCCTCCGAGCGACTCCTTTTCCCTACATCTCCATGCCCGTTTTCCCCCAAACGGTCGCGCGTGTGCTGACTGTCCTCCACGCAGCCCCGCTAGGTCCCCCACGTTTTGCATGCTAAGTGTTTCTATGAGTGCTTGTCCCGCTCTGATACCATTTGTCACGGACTTAGTTGGTTTTGCCAAAGTCGTGCAGCACCCTTGCGTGTCCGTCGGCAAAGGTCAGCCTCCCCGAAGCCTCCCATGGTCCCTTAAGACCCACAAAAGAGAGAACCAGATAGAGAAAACGCCTCACTCGGGATCCACAAGTAAACATCTTCGAAAACACTTCATAGATAATGCAAATTACAAACAGACTTTACAAGCTCTGAACAGTTGCACAACAAAAGAGTAAAATTGTCCATTATAGATCGAACTAAAACGAGACTATTAAGCCTTCGGCTATCCCTCTACATGCTAGTCAAAGTATGAGCATACCAAAAGACACGGACATACATAAGCATTACATCAAACATCTTGTTTAGAAGTTTGTCTGTGACACTATGGTCCCAAACAAACCACCATTTATTTGCATCATCAATATTTCTATCAATGTGGCAACTCCAATAACCATCAGCCCTGGTGTCCTAACCTCACAAGTCAACAAAGAGTCATCTGCCAGCTATGTGATAAAGTCGGACACTCTACGAAAGTCTGTTGGTCTCAACCCAGACTCCTTGCTCTATCATAGTGGCCTTAGGAAAATCTCATGACTACTATAGCTACTAGTTAACCTACTTGGATTGTCGATTCTGACGCCTCTCATCACATCACCTCTAATCTTCAAAACTTGTCCATCCATAATAACTATGACAGAAATAAAGATATCATCATTGATGACAGTAAAGGAATTCCTATTACTCATACTAATTCCACGATGCTTAATTCACATACTATAACTTTTATACTCGATAATATTTTATGTGCACCTCACATTAAACGAAACCTAATTTCTATTTCTCAATTCTGCAAACACAATAATACTTTAATTGAATTCTTTTCGGACTCTTTTTTTTGTCAAGGATTTGAGCACGGGGGCATCCTTAGTCCAAGGTCAGAATAAAGACAATATTTATGAATTATCATCAACTCCACAAATAACCCAGCCCACTATTCACTCTTTGGTTGCAACTCCAATTGGTGTGTGACATTGTCGTCTTAGTCATCCCTCATCCCTTATCTAGTAGAAATTATCTTTTTGTTATTCTTTTTTATTTTTAAATCAAGTAGCTTTATAACTCATTATGATGCTTGTCTTAGCAATAAAAGTCACAGATAACCTTTTGGCATATCCTCCATATCCTGCTCTAAACTATTTGAAATTATTTATAACAATGTTTGGGGTCCTGCTCCAACCATTTCTTTTGACAAATTCAGATATTATGTTGTTTTTGTAGATTATTTCATTAAGTACACATGGTTATATCCTCTTCACTATAAATATGAAGTTTTCACAATCTTTACCAACTTTAGAAAGTTGATCGATAACTACTTTTAGTCTACAATCAAAATAGTTTACTATAATGGTGGAGATGAATATCAAGTCATGACATCATGTCTCTCAGCTTATGGTATACAACACCTCAAGTTATCCTCATATACTTCTCAACTAGTTGGCTCTATCGAACGTAAACGTCAACATATAGTTGAAATTGGCATCTTTCTCCACTTTATCTTTATGCCTTTACCGATACTAATTGGGTATGAAACTTTGATGATAGAACATCCACGTCGAGATATACTATCTTCCTTGGAGCTAATCCAATTAGTTGGAGTTCTAAGAAGCAAAAGATAGTCGCATAGTTTATAAATGAAACTAAATACTGTGATATCGCCACCACTACTGTAGAACTCAAATGAGTCACGAATCTGCTCAAGGAACTCAACATCAACTCCACTCTTATTTCTACAATATATTGTGATAACGTCGGAGCTACCTACCTATGCACCAATCTAGTGTTCCACTCACGCATGAAACATATTACCATCAACTTTCACTTCGTGCAAAATCAAATTGTCCGACATCAACTACGTGTTTCTCACGTACATATAGCTAATCAACTAGTAGGCTCACTCACAAAGTCTCAATCGCATAAAAAAAATATCACTATTTTGTTGATAGAAATTCTTCCTCTTAACCTATATAAATAGAAAGAACATATCAATAAACTTCCAACAAAAACATATCTTCTATCAAAAGAACAGTAGCACCGCATTGTTCACGCACTACGCTGAAGAATGTCAACCCGTAGATGCTCTGCAGCCCGAATCGGTGATCGACAGTATCGTCGTCTGTTCGTTCTCACAAGGCTTCCTCGATGGAATGTCGACCGTCACTGTCAATCCACGACATTGCACAAGCTCTCGATTTCATGGGTTTCATCCTAGTAGCCAACCCTTCCTATGGTGATTTCATCCCACCCCCTTCCTCCTGGCAGCATGATTTCTCGAGCAGCTGATGCGCAGGTCGGTAAGCCTCATCATCCATCAGGAACTCCACTTGATGAAAATATTCTATGACGTGTTCCAAGCTTGGTTCCACTCGCAGATCCTCACGAAGCACTACGAGCAGCACACGTACAGGGACCCGAGAGGTGCAGCCATAGCTTACAGAGGAACCGCAGTGACTACAGAAGGCCGACTCGCTATGTTCGCCGATCCTGCGCTGACCGTGTCCAGGTTCTCAACGACAGGGCCCGACGTCTTCGACGGCCAGATGACTCCGGCGGACGTCCTGAAGCCCGACATCGTCGCGCCGGGAGAGCAGATATGGGCTGGAGCTCAGCCAGCATATTGGATCCCATACTCGCAAATGGTTTGATATCTCTCCTGCGGCGATGCTAGATTTGGAGATCAGGTTTAAGGTTACCCGGACATCAGATTCTGTCGGATTTGGGGAGATTGTATTCACCAGAAGCTTAGATCACACAATCAGGTTGCCATTGGCAGTTCTACCTACAGCCTTGAGATGATTTCTACCGAGAAAGACTTATAAAAAAGCCTGTAATAATGATAATGGAAGGAACAATAAGATGGAGATGCCAAATTAACTCATGAAAGAATGAGCTAACTCATGCATGACAAACGTTTTACATATTTAGTCTAACAAGAATTGCTCTCAGTTGTGTATCAATAGGCTTTAAGCAGAAAATGATTTTGCAAATTAACCTAATTTGGAAACAACTAGACTAGCCAGCATAAATAAAATGGCCCTTGTGAACAACAATGTGATCATCCCACATGGGTTCAATGAAATATGAGCTCTTTTAGAACCTCAGATACTGTAAAATACAGCATACTAAACAAACCCATCAAACAAAAGGATTAACCAGAATAAGGAAATTACTAATTTGGAAGTCTTGTAGGCACTTTAACAGGTGAAGTCACCAAATTCTCCAGTAATACATTCAATATACGTGATACACCAATTTGGAAGTTTTTCGTCATCATCAAGTCTAAAAGCTGGCCGAAGCACCAACTCCACCCACCAATGGACTATGCTGGTGGCCACCAACCAGAACATTTTTAAATCGGCCAGTAGGCCCAAACATGCTGATCATCTTCTGACAAAAGCAATTATGAGTTGTTAATATGAGTAGATTAAAAGAACTTACTAACAATCAAAAGAGCGGTTGTGAATTAAAAATTAATATGCACTTGCTGACTAAAATAAGTGCAATGTATCATCGTCACCCATCAGGAAGCAGCAAAACCCCGTTGGAAAAAGTAGCTTTGTAGGGCCAGACTAAACCTTGAATGTTCAAGCCACACAATATAAATATCCAATATTGCTTGTAACTTAACTATTAAGTTAAGGCAGTCAATTTATGCTAATTACTTTGGAGATCTTACAGCTCCAAAAGAGTTGCACAAGACCAACATAAAGAATTGCCAACTGCTGAAGATCAAAAAAATCTTCCAAAAATCTTTGAGAAAGAACCTAGTGTCATGACCCAATCTAGTAAGAGATTTAGTCCATTAATTTCATTTGAACCTGAACCACGGATCAAAAATCCTTAGTCAAGTTAATAGTAATACACTCCTCAAACCTAAAAGTCAATCTAGGTATTTGTCCAATTCCGTTGTGGGACTAAATTAGGGTACCACAATCTTCATCACTTGCTTGGCGTCTTCATCAAGCGCCAATATAGTCTAGATCAAATCTTAGCATGGTGCGCGTGAAGCCCAGCCCGATGACTCCATGCCGTGACATGTCCTTTGGTCTCATCCATAAGTAATCCTTTCCTTCTCAAGCCTCTCTCCTATGGCTAATACTAGATTGGATTTCATACCAATTGTCATGATGCTACTTGATAGGATAACTAACCCATCAACTTTTTTGAGCATAAACCATGGGCCTAAAATGCTTAAGTCCACATAAACAGTAGTACATCTATCAAATCCTTGTAAGTCCATTAAACCTTTGCCACTTCTTTTGTGGATTAAACTGGAGTGTCACACCTAACCCTTCAGTTCATAAGGTTAATTGATAAGGGACAAGAGAAACCTGAGATTCATGTTTAGGTACTAATCTTATGAGAAATATAATCTTAGGTTAACATCAAACTATTCTAAGCATAAGCTTTTTAAATATCTTCTTTGCTATATTCTCAACACATATAAGAACAAACATGCACCCATTTTCATCCGGTTTCAGGACATAGTACATTAAACAACAAGGATTTTTGATCTAACAAGCTACCAGACAATAACTTGGATCTTTTCTTGTTCGCACAAAATCAGTGTAAATGCTAGAGATCATATGAATGGCAAGAATAATTGCATACTAGTTCCATCTGCCAAGGATCATATGAATGCAATGAAAATAAATGCTAGAGATCTCAACACAGAAATGTACAAATTATGTATCCAGAATTCAATCATCTAACAGATGACCATATTTCACCTTATTTGACTTCATAGCAAGCCATGTTAAAATCATTAAGGTGTGTTCCATCTTAACAAAATACGTATCCATGAAATATCTCATATACTTTCTGAGTTTTACGTGATATCTTTAGATAAATCTTGTGGCTACTGATCAAAACTTCAAAGATGAAAGAGAAAACTACGTGCCAATCAGAATAGTGCAATCATAAGAACTCATCATAACAGGATAAGATGTTCATTTAGTCTACAAGACAAACGGGGGAACAAATTGAGAGATAGCCACAGAAAAAATCTGAAACTAGATGAGATATCCAAAGAGTCGTAAGAACAAAACATTGTTCATACAGAAAACACATATAATTAGTGAGAACAAGGATTTCGAAGAAGGCCTTGACAAATAAAAGTCTTGTCAAGATCTAAATCGGAGAGGTGAGAAGAGGAGTTTAAAAAGGTTGAATGAAGTCATGAACATCATCAAGATAGCAATAATCTCAAAATTAACTACTGAATCTGACTTTATAGTTCAACTTATGATATCTATAACCTTAAAGACATTATTAGGTGACCTCAAAAAACATAGGGACTGTTTACATTGATTCAGTTATCAAATTTTAATAATATATGCAATTTCATACTTAAGAAAAGCTGGTATTACTTTAATTTTGAATTCCTGTTCTCTGCATTCTGATCTTCGTGGGATTCTCTCTCCAGTGGGAAGAGAATCACAAATTGCTATGGTTGTTTAGAAATTAACAAATAATTTGTAACCTAGCCCAATATATTTTTCCCATAATGGAATTGAGTTAAACACCGTTCCGTACAGCTGACGGGAAATCAACTATAGACAGTAGAGCAATCGTTATGAAAGAGATTGACCATAACATATGGGCAGAATGCATTAATCATGGGGATTTGAAATTTTACTTCTATACATATCTGTCATCCAATTCCAGGAGAGTACATGCTAAAACCTTGTATAACTCAACTGTACTTGCTTCTTGTTATGAGTATGCATGCACATCAAAAGAATTCAAGAAGAGATCATCATTATAGATTAATCTACTGTTGTAATTAATAACCAGCTGTAAAGAACAGAATTAAGAAAGAGATCTGGGACAACAGAAATGCAAATTTATAAAAAATTTCAATGCTTCTTAAAATAACCTAAATCAATTTTTAGAAACGACGCAAGCATACCTCACCACGGATGCTAAACCTCCATTTGATTTGATGAAGCTGCCATTTGTCACGCTGCCATCGCCGCCCCATGATTACAACCCCCATGACAGCTGCAGCAACAACAACAGACCAAAATGTATTGGATTCCTTTGCATGGCAATACAAAGATGTTGCATGCCTCTTCCACCATACTTGGCAAGGAAGGTTAGGTCGATCAACTTCATCTTCACATAGTTTTGTATGCTCCCGAGGAGAATCCATAATCACATCCAAAGATCCTTCTGCCTCAAATTCGGTGTCACTTTTATGTGTTTCAGAGTGAACAGCAGCAGACTCAGAATCATCCAGCATACCCTGCTCCAATCCAGCCAAGTTTAGCTTTTGAAATCCAGTGCCCTCTTCGAATACCATGTCACGTGTAGATATTTGACTCCCTTTATCATAAAACTCAAAACTGTGCAGGTCATCATTGGATTCACTCTGCTGCCTTTCTTTACCCAGACTATCAAATCCATTATCAACACTAACCACTCCAGGAGTATGCCCCTCGGTTTCACTATAATTTTTGCTCGAGTCTGGTTCTACTGGGAGATTCTCATGCTCACTGGGTGGAAAAACAAAATGACCAGACATTAATAATGCAGAAGAAGACTCAAGTTTAGTTATGTCCTCCTGTTCTTCACTTTTATCAGTAGGGCTAAACTCATTCGGTCCAGGTGCAGCAGCATAGGCAGATGCTGTGAGAGACACAACCTCCCAGTCAGCTCCACGAGAAGAAGTTCCCTCTACCCCTTCTACATTGTCCGTCATATCGACTACAAATTTAAAGAGACTAACTAGTTCAGAGAGGGTTACGTCACCGGATGAACATAAACACACAAGCCGAAAACAACAAGGAGAAAAGATAAAGATACACTTCTAATAAGCTTAAATTGGACCAGGTCCTTTATTATTAATGTTAAAATGACAAATTAAAGTAAACAGAAAATTTCAATATAATAGATCGCATGAATTGATACGTGCAGCCGCAAAATTCATGCTGTAGATATTGAATAATAAATATAATGCCAAGTTTCAGTTAAAGCATCAAGCACCGAAAGATTAAAGAAAATAGATCATCTCCTCTCAAAACAAAAGATGCCAAGCGTAATAATTAATGTGTGTAACTGAATAACAAAAATTGAGAGAGCCAGAGGAGAGGAGATTTAACCAGTAGAGGACTCAATCCAGTTTCTGGAAATTAAACCAACCTATCATGATCAGCGAAAAGAAGACACATGAGATCAAATTATTCTTGATCAAGGTAGTCTAATGATTAATGAAATGGATAAAGCTCGATTCATTCTTAATACAAGGAGCCATTCCGGTAGCAGTTACAGCTACAAGGAATCAATAGAAGGCCCCTAATTCCTTACATGCTCCAACATCCAAACAGAAAATCTATTGCCTGGTGGACGGAAACCCACCAAAAGGATGCCACCAATCGAGGACCTAATCATCTGATCCAGGAAATGAACGAGTCGGATCCAGATAACAACAAATAATCAGCAGAAACCTCAAACATTAAAGAAGCACGAATACATCAAGATCGAGAACAAGGACGAGCTTTTTAACCTCGGAGGAGAGATCTTCGGGCGTGAATATGTGGTGAGCAGACCGACGACGACGAGACGGAAGAGAGGGAAAGAGATAGGTACCGAGGAATCGGCAAGAAGCCCTCCGGGAGAAGAAACGACTTGGGGAAGGAATGGCAATCGCGAACCTCGATTCTTCGATTCCAAATATATTTAATTATTCTGAAATTTCGAAACCGATTCAGCCGGTGCTCTCCGTCCGAAAACCGGCTGTAACAGGTCAGCCCAGGCGATGGAGAAAATCGAGCAGTACTTTTCACACTCACGTAAAACAGACCCACGTGATAATTACGACACGTGGAGGAAATATAGGTCCTGTGTGTGTAAAATTGACGGTTAGGATCATCCGAGTACTTCTCCGGGTGTGTTTTGGTGTAGAAACAATTTCGATAGCTTGCTCAGATTGAAGACTATACATACACGAAAGAGGTTGCGTAGGGGCAGAAAAGACCGAATGCGGAACGAGTTACGTATGTTTGAATGGAGGAAAAAGACGAATCAATTGGCAAAATGCTCCTCAAATAAACCATCTGAATCAATTGGCATCTCTGCCTCGCAAACTGCATATATTATCTTCGGCAACATAAAAATTTATGTTATTTATTTGGTAAATAAATAAACAAACTGAACTCATCATCTAAGGAAAGAAAAAGGCATATTTGGTAGCTCATGGATCAAATTTGGTAAGCAAAGAGACAACAATCAATTTATTACCCATGCAAATGTGAGTTTGACACTGTACAAATATAGACTGGAAAACAGCAACTTGATGGCGTCGCGTTAGACTCTGCTACTGCCAGCCACCAGAAGCTCTTCCAAGACTAATCTTCTAGTCCTGTTGATGGTCATGAAGCAGAGGTACAGGTGCTCCTCCAGTTCATCCAGCTGTTGGTGGAAGCTTGCGAGGTTCTTGGTTATCTGCCGCGCGACCTCCTGCGTCAACCGCCGCCGGTGGCCGCCGTGCCGCTCGCAGAGCCTTAACAGGGTGAGCGTGTGCTCGGCCTCGTCGTGCAACCGTGCCACGAGCCGGCTAATGGTGTCCAGGTCCCGGTTCAAGATGTACGTCCCTTTGGCCGCTGCATCTAGCTGAGCGACCACCCTATCCAACCTCCTCGCCGAGGCCAACCGAGACGACGACGACAGGAACGGCGGTAGTGTCATCAAGGTTACCAAAGCGTGCATCGGTACACAAGCACCGATGATGAACGTCGAAGCCGCGAGGACGATCGCCGATATGGCCAAGGTTCGCTTGAGGCGGTTGATGAACCGAAGCTTTGCCCTCATCTTCTTGCAGCCTGACTCGAGCCTTTTGAGTAGGTCTGCAGAGCCCTCTTGAACTGCCCGGAATTTGCGTCGAGATGAAGCTACTGAATCAAAGGAGTTGGTGGTCTTGGAGACATCTGCGAGGAAGTCGCCTATGGCCTGGAGGCCGTTACGTGACCGGCTATCGGAGACGAGGGAACGAAGGGTGGCTTTGAGCGGGCGGTACCAACGTCGAATCCGATCGATGTCCTTCAGGAGAAGGCCGCAGAGGAGCGAGGCGACGGCGGTCTCGGAGTAATAGTCGGAGAGGAGGACATGGGTCTCAGGGTGGCAACGTTTTGCGAGGTGGGTAAGGATTTTGGTGACGGTGGGCTGGTCCGGGTCGAGGAGATGCTCCGCCAGGAGGCGATAAGAAGGGAGACGGGAAGCAGCGCTACTTCCTCTGGGCTTGAGGGCGGCACCATGGTCTAAGGTGAGATCCAGAACCTGAGCCCAGAATTCATGGTATGACTCGGTGCGGAAGGCGTTGGTGTACTCCTCGCACAGGTTGAAGCTTGAAGACGAGATCGGTGCCACCGCTTCACGTTTTCCTGTGATATATCTCACCGATCATCCTATTTCACGTACGTTACATGCACGCATCATATTTGCTCACAGGAAACAAGAAATAACAAGACAATCTGCACTCATCATGCATAACATTACCTATTTGGACTTGGTGTTTGCAGTCTCGAAAGAGATTTAACCTTATGTGCATCTCTTCTTTCTGCCCAAGTCTGTCAGCTGATTAAGATCGATGAAGGATGGGTCGTGAGGCTGTGGCTGCATAAAGAGAATTAAAGAAGACGAAGCGATGCAAACGGATCCGATCCTTTTATAAGCTCAACATTGTTGAGGAGCCTTCTTCCAATCTGACGGTGCAAGCTTGAAGCGTCTCTTTCTCGAGCAGCCTTGAAGTTGAAGGATAAGGATCTCGGGAAAGCTTGGACTTATAAATCCATGAGACTTGGAGGAGAGGCCACGGTGTTGGTGGAAGCTTGGAAGGGAGGACAATGGAGCGGGAGGTACTCGAGGGAAACCCGTGGTGATGCCGTGTTTTCGATATCAGCCGTCAATTCCGTCATCAACGGCCACAAAGTGGTGACTTATGCGTGGATCGAGGAGAACGAGGAGCTCCTTTCTGTCGGGGCCCGTGGAAACAGAATCCTTTGCGCCCGTCTCCAACGGCGCTGATGGATATTGTCGATACGTGTCAACTGAACAAGGTGACATGTGCCACTCGATTCATGTATAAGATTTTATAATTGATTTATTGCTTATAAATATTCTCATGGAGTGCTAGAGGAAACAGAAACCAAAAAAAAGAATCAAAATGTTTTTATTAGGTCTCTTGATAATAAATATTAGAATTTATTGTGATGGATAAAATCATGTAATTGACAAGTTGTCTTTTTCTCCGTTTAATGAATGGGATAAACTTTGATGATTGCATTGGTATCTATTGTTGTCTTGATGTCCGTCATCGTAAAGTTAATACAATCCGGTTTGATAACGAATGTACAAGTCCATCCAATGAGTCCATGGAGGTCAAAGGAGATAATTTGAGCGGGTAGTTGAGCCAACGGGTAGGATCCCAAGGTGTTGCTTGTTTTGTGGTGGTTGATTTGAGGTCATCCCGAGGAGTGACTTTCTTGTCGAGACGGATTGGGTGTTGCCCTAATGTGCACCATAGTTTCGTCGAGACCTTACACAAATGGTCAATGTCATGAGAATGTCGTAACCTAACCCCTTAAGTGATTAAGTTAGTAGAAGAGTAGGAAAGAGTTTAGAAGAGTTTAGCTTGATTCTCCCTGCCCCCTTTAGGTTTGGGGGTTGGCTTTTATACCTGGACAGTCGATGGTGTTGCCCTAATGTGCACCATAGTTTTGTCGAGACCCTATACAAATGGTCAGTGACATGAGAATGTCGCAACCTAACCCCTCAAGTGATTAAGTTAGTAGAAGAGTAGGAAAGAGTTTAGAAGAGTTTAGCTTAATTCTCCCTGCCCCTTTAGGTTTGGGGGTTGGCTTTTATACCTGGACAGTCGATGGTGTAAGGGCAACAGTGAGTTAGGGTGCCCCTTATATCACTTGAGACTCATCAATGATAAATGACTCATGAACACACTCCTTTGTGGGTGGTGTCAGGAAAGGATGATTATAAATGTATCATTTGTTAGGGTTTTAAGCTTATTAGGAATAAGCAAGGGATGGTCCCTTGAAACAGTCATTTGGTAAGAGGAGCGAGAGAAACTAAACCTATCGTTAGGGATTAATGCTCTATAGTGTCAGGCATGCTAAGCCTTCTTGAAACTATGGTTAGTGAAGGAAACGTCATCATACTTGTAGCAGTAGCAGATGACTTTGACAAGAGAAGAGAGAGATAAATATCGTTGTTGACATTTTCTAAGATGGGTAGGGGTCGACGGATCAGACTCATGTCGTTAACTTCTGAGGGAGATTACGGATCCTTCCGCATATGTTATTACCTAGGTGATCGGATGAATTAATAACGTCATTATTTTGTCTATCAGTATCCAATTAATTTTCCTCCCTCTTCTATAAAATGAAAAATAACACTGTGTATTGCACATTTCTAACCTCAAGAAAAATGTCATATGGGGCTCCCGCCATCCTTCTGTTGTTCAATTTAAACGTTCGAGACCCAAATGAGGTGCAAACTATTTCCGTCCCAAATTATGATCCAATTCGATCGGAAACATCATGAATATGGACATCATTACATGCAAGGAAAGGATACTATATCGGTGTTCCAGCACCGTGGTAGTCGCACCGACCTATGCTAGGGTGGGCCCGTTAGATGAACTGACATTTGATGCAAAAACAAATCATCCAAGTCATCATGATCCTGAAGAAAGATATATTTTTTCTCAAAGAATCAATAATAACCACTCTTGTCTGACCAAGATGAATTTTTTGCCGAGGAAATAATAACGTCACATGCTCTGTAATACAAAACCATAATACATTTGACTCATTAAAGAATCAATTATTACTCTTATTATTATTATTATTATTTTAATCGAGTAATCCTTGACATTTAACACTTCTTCATGCTACAATTTCAGCTTTTTTTTCTTAGCTCACCTCTTTTATGATGGTTGCAGTTGATTCTTAGCTTAGCTGAGTTGTAGTGGACCAGCAGCATAGAAGAGATTGACCTGTATTAGATCAGCCTCAGCCCGTATCTAATCCGTCCAAAAATAGATCTTAGCTATAAATTCGACTCATATCCGGTAATTAATCCCATCTCCCCTCGGATCGGAGGTTATCCACATTCAATTCCCATGGCATATTTGGACATGCCGGGATCAGATCAATCTCCAACCGACGGTCCTAATCGCGGCATCACTAGATGACAGTAGGACACGGACGGCCCCTATCGAGTAGCGAGTCTCGGTAGACTTTGGTCCGCAGGCAAGCTGTTTGATGATATGCCATGTCCTTCCTCGCCCTCTTTGAATGCGTGGGCGCACGGTGGATGACGCAGTAAATGCCATGCATGTGCCCCCTTCTTTCCTTCCCCAGTTTTCCTTTCCCTATCCTTCTCGGGTCTGAGATCCAAAACCAGCAACCGGAAGGGGAAGAAGCGGACGGGGGGTCCGTCTCTGCCAGGTAGTGGTTGCCAGCTGCCATCCGGACTTGTAACTCGCACTATAGAACTGTCTCCTCCTCCCGTCACGGCGGAGTCCGAGACCCAGGATCCCGCGCTCGTCTCCACACCCGCCTGTATGATTGAGGGCCCCGCGGAGTTGAAGAGAGAGCTCGGACGGGATTTGTTATCGGGTAATCGTCGGTCGGGTCGCTGATC